AATGGAAGGCACATTGCAGAACTACAGGACTGTGAAACAAAGTAAGGACTACGGGCCTGAACGGAGGTTCATGGCACAGAACAGCTGTAGCCTGAAATGAGTCAAAGCATTTGGACTTCATTATAGAAGGGAGTATTATTAAGTCCAGGCTGAGATATCTGAAACATCAGCAAAACCCACCCAAGGCTGGGATATCTACTCTGTCTTCAAGACCTCACAAAGAAATTTAAATTCCTGAGTCTGCTGCAGGTGATACTTTTTTTAAATTTTTTTTTATTTTATATATATATTTTACATCATTTTTCATTTTTGCACAATGTATGCATTTTCATCTTGGTTATAGTCCCCGTGCAATTCCCACCACACACCCTTATTTTGATCCTTTGATGTATATTGCCCTGGTCCTCTTTTATACCTAATACTCCTCACTGGTTTCAGAACCCTGACTACGCCAACAAATTTACTCTTACTAAAACACATATAAAATATCAATAAAAATGAGGAGATAGAACAACATTGTACAAATCTCAGAACAAAAAACTCTGACAGGAGCCCAACTCAGTGGAGTTGTAGAGCATGACAGAAGGGGGATTCAGGCAGCAGTAATTCTGATGAAACTTTAAAAAATAACATAGAACATCAAACAACAACAGAATGAGAATATGAAGCATCTACATTCAGGAATAATGGAGTTAAGATACTATAGCTGATTTAAAATATATAATTGAAGGCCTTAGTGGCCAACAAATAGAAGCAATGAAGAGAATTAATGAACTTATAAACACAAAACTAGAGAACACACGAATAGAACAAGGTTGAAAAAAAAAAGAATAAAAAATGAAAACAGTATAAGAGCTCTCTGAGATGACTTAAAAAGGAATAACATCTGTATCATGGGGATCCCGGAAGGAGAAGAAAAAGAGAAAGGCATAGATAATCAATGAAAACAATTTCACTCTGGCAAATAAACCAAGAGTTGTTATCCAAAAAGCCCAAAGATTTCCAAAGTAATACTGGATAGACAAACAAGACGCATAATAATAAAATTGTTGGGAACCAATGACAAGGGCTGAATACTAAAAATATCAAGAGAAAAAAGGGTAACTTTATCAGTAAAAAGATAGAGGTTGTTGCCTTTAAGAAATTTGCTTTTCAAGTTCTGCACAGTGAAAGAAACTGTAGCTGAAATGAAGAACCACCCTGCTGAAAGGGAGAAAACATTTGCACACCATACATATGATAAAGGACTCATATCAAGGATCTATAATGATCTCATACAACTCAACAAAAACAAACAACCCAATCAAAAAATGGGCAGAAGAACTATACAGGTGATTCTCCAAACAAACAAACAAACAAACAAAAAACATACAGATGGTCAATAGACACATGAAAAAATGTTCATCATCACTTATCAGGGAAATGCAAATCAAAATCACAGTTAGATACTACCTTAAAAGAGTGAGAATGGGCCATATCAAAACAACAACAACAACAACAACAACAATGAAATGAGTGTTAGTGAGAATGTGGAGAAAAGGTGACTCACACATTTTTGGTAGCAATGTAGACTGGTTCAGTCTTTATGGAAAGCTGTGTGGAGTTTTCTCAAAAGACTAAAAATGGATCTGCCATACAGCCTAACAATTACACTCAAAGAACACAAAGACAGTAATTCAAAAGGAAACCTACACTCCTGTGTTTACTGCAACACTATTTTCAATAGCCAAGTTATTGAAACAAGCTAAGTGCCCAAAAATAGATGAATGTATCAAGAACATAGAATACTACTCAGTGATCAAAAATGATAAACTCATGCCATAGGCAACAACATAGATGGAGTGAGAAGGGAGTATGTTAAGTGAAATAAGCCAGGAGAAAAGTAAATACCAGATGGTCTCACTTAGATGTATAACATAGAAAAAACAAAAAGGATTAAAACCAGTCCTTAAAAGCTGACCATACATCTGAGGCATTCAGAGGGGAAAGAGGAGGGAGAGGGCTGAGACTGGGGAGGGAGAAAGTGCAATGGACCATGATGGAAGACTATGGGTACTTCTTGGTGGGAGTGCTATGGTCACTACAACTGAGGGGGCAAATCCTATAATGTCAAAACATTAACAAGGTCAAAATAAATAAATAAATAAATAAAATTTACTTTTCTGAAAGGTAGTGTACAATAAGCCTAATAAATATGTAAACTTTGTAGCATGTTTACAGTGGTAAGTGCTATGGCAACAAAAGCAAAGCATGGAGACTGGAAGTGCTGAAGATAGGGAAAAATACTTTGAAATTTCTATGTGATGTGAGTTTGAGGTGGACCTGGAAGCCTTTTTGATGAAAGGTAAGCGTGCACAAAATGCTCAGACAGGCCTTTTTTAAGATGTCCAGAGGAGGCTTTTTCTGAAATGTGTCACCTTGGCATTTGGAGCTAAGGTCAATGGAGGGTGGGCTTCAAGAGAAATTGCAATCATGACCTAGATGAATGAAGATTCCCAGTTTTAGTAACATCTCCATAAATAACCCTTCTATTCAGAGAAACTGCCCTATGGCAGGACAAACATCTGATTTTGTCCCATAAGTCACTCTCTCTTCATCATGTGAGACCCTGTCTTATCTCGTCACACACCACTTTCCGTTCTGTAACTCAAGAATAAGAACGCTTGGTTTGTCCCATTTAATCTAGAATTTATGGTCATGTAAAATATTCATACATGTATAATTAAATTTGTTCTTTTTCCCCTCACTGATTTGTCTCATGCTAATTGTTTGCTTTATCAGATGGGGAAGAACCCCCAGAGGAGGTGGGAACAATTCCCCCTCCACCCCTTCCATCTGGAAGGAAGAATATTCTCAGCAGAGGAAGCAGCCTGTGCAAAGCCCTTACATGGGCCTGCAGCTGAGGGATGAGAGGAAAAGTAGCAGGAGACCCAGAGAGGTAGTGGAGAAAGACTGGGTTGTATATTATAGGCACTTGAAGACTCCAGCTTCTACTGTAAAGGGGATGAGAAGTCCTGGCAAAGTTTTGCATGCCATGCTTTAGTGCTAAGAATGGGTTGTGTGGAGGTAGTAATGGAAGGGAGAGGTGCCTCAGATGAAGGTGAAGGAGCAGAGGTGATGAAGTGAGATGGTGTTCTGGGTATAGATATTTTAACACTTTATTGTGGAAAATTAAAAACATCCAAAGGCAAAAATTAGCACCAACCCCTTTCTCTCCACAGTGAGCTCTTCACCCAGCTTCAGAAATGGTGCACCACAACCACACCTTGTCCCCACTCTACCCACCTCCCCTTATTGGATTATTTCAAACAAAATACATATTTTAATCTATAAATATTTAGCATGAGTTCCAAAAGATTATATTTCTTGTTCTTCATAAGAACATAGCTGCAATACTATTATTTATATCTAAAACACAATTTCTTACTATTATTTTATAAATTTCCCTTAGTATTTCATTAGTGATTTTTTCCCCTGGTTTGATTTGCTTCAGTCAGGATCCAAACAAGATCAGCCCATTCCTTTGGTTGATATATCTCACATCTTATCTAATTTATAGGCCTTTCTTCCCTCTTTCATTTTCTTGTTCTCTTCATCTCTCCCTTCCTCCCTCTCTCCTTCTGTTTCTGCCTTTTTCTCTTTCTTTCCTTTCCTTCCTCCCTTCCTCTTACTCTGTCTCCCTCGCTCCCTCTCTTCTTTTTTCACTTATTTTATAAAAAAATTTTTTTAAAGATTTATCTATTTATTTATACAAGCACTGGGTACAATCAGAAGTGCGGGAGGGTGAGAGAATTCACCAGAGCCAGAGCGGAGAGCAGAACAGGCAGACTGATGAAGTACACTGCAGAGGGGAGCAGCGGGCAGCAGGAGAGTTCTGCATGCCATGAGGGACCCTCATCAGAGGCCGGGGATCGAACCGGCGCTGTAGAGGCTGCGGACAGCTTCGCAACCGAGCGCTCAACCGCTGCGCCACCAGGGAGGGCCATTTTTTAAAAATATTTTTGTATTTATTTATGCATAAAAGAACCGGGGTCCAGGCCAGAGGGGTAAGAGGATTGACCAGAGACAGAGTGGGGAACAGAACATGCAGATTGACTGAAATACACTGCTGAGGGGAGCAGCAGGCGAGTCATGAGAGGTCTGCTGCACCATGTGGGCTGCCCCCTGGCCAGGGATTGAACTTGTGCTGTAGTGGCTGTGCCACCAGGGAGGCCCCCTTTTTCACTTATTTTTGAAGAACTCAGGTCATTTGACTTGCAGAATTTCCCCACAATTTGGATTTTGCTGATTGCAATCTCATGGTACTAATAAACATTTTCCTATATCCCACGCATTTCCTGTAAACTGGTAGTTAGATCTAGAAACTTGATTGATTCAGTTTTGATATTTTGGGGCATGGATTCTCTGTGAGTGCTGAATGCTTCCATCAGAGGCACATGATATTAAGCTGCCTGTTTTGTGATGTTAAATGAGGGTTGCAACATGAAGCATCCATTTAAAGGAGTAGTTTTCATTCTATTTCTGGCATTCCTTCTTCATTTTGGGGAAGAATTATTTTCACAACTATTTGGTAACTCAAAGATACAGTTTTGCCTAAAGAAAGGCAGCCCTATATCCTTTATGTAGGAACTAGTATTTAGAGACCACAACTTATGCTGAGATGTTCAGTGTGATTGGTTTGGTGATTATCTTCTAATAGGAAATAAGTATCTTTTCTAAAAAGGCAATTTTTCATCAATTATATTCATTTCCAATTCCAATTTAAGTTTGCAAGATCATTATTTAACTCTAAAATTTTACATTTTGTTTTACTTTTCTCTAATGTTAAAAATCTTTGTCCCAAATACCATCAACATAATTATGTTTTGCTTCTGGAAGTTCAGCTTACAGCCTGATTCTCCAGCTCTTCTGATGATTTCATAAAGTACTGACCCGATTTTAAATTCCTTTTTCTATAAACCATTTAGAGCAATAGATTTTTTTTTTTTTTTTTTTTTTTTGTCAGCAAGTGAATCCTGACAGCATACACAGAGTAAGTGGGAAGAAGACAGGGCATAGCATTGTGCGTGAAGTGTAGCCACTCATAGTTAAACCAGTTGATTCAGATGGCACCTGAGTGGGACAACCATTGTAGCTGTATTGAGAAGAAACCAGAGTCACCCAGGCTTTTCTGTCTGTGTGTAAATCCGAGTTCACCAACATTTGTGCTTCTGTTTTTCAACAGTCCTTCTCCCTCCTTGTTCCTTTGCCCAAATCAGACTCCAGGGAACACATTAGGTTAGGTTTAGAGCAGGTTCACAGGATCTTCTCTTAACCCTGGGTCCCTGTCATTTTAATGAAGCCTTTCTGTGGCCATTCTAGCTCCACTTGAGTGGATGAGTGAGCCGCCGTGAGAGTGAATGTATGTGGGCAAGAAGAACTGGAAATTTGGAACTAGTTGGTCACTCCAGGGACCTGGATGATTGCACTGTGGGGCTTTGGATCAAGGACAGTCACATCAGCAGTACATTCTCATAACTTTCCATGGCATCTTCATCCTTCGAGGTGACCTTTTCAGCTGAATCATCTGGGAGTTGTGTCTTTAACTCAGCGTAGACAACTGGAGCATTCTGGGGTAGAAAGAAGACAAAAGAAGAGCTGGGGAGAGAGGAGATTTGGGGACTATAGGTAGTAGTGGGGGACAAAACAGGAAATGAAACTCACCATATCTTCTAGTGTTGTTCTGGAGACACTAGCTGTGGAGGGAAAGAAACAACTGAGCCATGGACGTCAGGATACACCCATAACCTAGTCTTCTGGCTTATTTCCCAGAGACAGGAAAAACTGGACTCTACATTGATTGTCATGTTTTTCCCACCTTGACCCCCCCCACACATGTCCTATGAAACATGTGATTTTTTGTTTTACCGTTTCTTAACCCAACCCTCTGCAAATTCTTTTCAAGCCCCATTAGTTGTGAAGGCCTCCCTCAAAACCACAGGAACAAACCTCACTCCCTTCCTTTAACATATGTTGAGAGAGAATTTCTCTCTTAATTTTAGTTCTTGCTTTTCTTAACTTAGAGAACCTCCATCCAACTCCAGACTCAAACTTTCAGGCCCAGTTGTTTGGCAATTCCCATGGAGCTCTTCCTTATTATGCCCTGGGAGGAAGATTTCTCTTACATTACAGGCCCTGTTCTAGATTTTATCACCACAATTTCTTAAATAAGGAGTCACGATGAGAGAAAAAGTTAACAGGCATGATTTGTCAGATCCTACATATTAGAAGGAGGAGATAAAATCATCAGAGTCACATAGAAATTTTGTGGGGAGTTACAGTCTGAAAAAACAAGATACTTGAGGTTTCTCTCTTTTTCACCATATTCTAACCATAGAGCATTTGGCATTACAGATCTTTTAAATGCATAATAGAAGCTATGTACTATTTTTCCTGAACATAGTCTTATACTATGAAAATTTGCATACAACTTTAAGGGTTTAAAGCAAACCTCAAGGAATCTGAAAATAAATCTTGCAACAGATCATAATATATTAAGTATATGTCCGATAACTAGTCCACCAACAGAGTGTTCAACTTAAATGGAGTTTTTGACAAATATGTGAAGGACAGAGCATGAAGGACAACACACGGTTAAGGAAACTGTAAGATGCATTAACCCAGACAGATTGCAGCAATTCTAGTTCTCCCATTTAAAGGGTCAGGGGGATGGCTGGGAAAGGAAAGTGATAGACAAAGCTTATGATCAATGTTGGTCAAATATAGTAATATGCATGATAATAGAAAATATAATAGCAAGACAGAACACTTCAGCTTAGTGTCATCTTCTAATGGCTTTGTGACATAACGTAATTTGTAAAATGAGCTCAGAATCAGATTACAATTGCACAAACAGTATTGGGTATTTTAAATTCCCAAGTGAGGGAATTTGATCAACATGGTGGCAGGGAAACGCTGTGAGTAGGTCCTCCCATAAAAAAAAGTTAATAGGAGGAAAAGCGGCAGGTCCCTGCAAGGACTGGGACATGGAGGATAAAAGGGCAGCTCTGGCAAACTGCCCAAAGAGGAAAGTTGCCAGAAAAGAGGACAAAGAAGAGAGGAAAGCTCAGAACCCTGTAACCCTCCCCCACCCACAAAGTCAGCACTCTCCGACCAACAAAAAAAACCAAACAAAACAAGAACAAACTACAGATCAAATGGGACAGTGAGTAAAAAGTAACTATTTCAGGCTCTGGGTGCCATTAGAGGAAGATAAGGACTCCATGGAGACCTACAAATAGCCCAAGGCCAGCCAGTAAGCTTGTGTGGAAAAGCACACATGCACTCGAAAAGCATATGTGGATCGCAGCTTCCCAGGTCCCCATGCCCGCAACCTAGGTTTGTGGGGAGACGCATGGTAGCCACCGCTGAGGTGAATGTCCCTCACTGAGTAATTAGAAACCAGGCGCCCAGACAAGGGAGTGGAGTGAAAAAGGTGCCATTTCTGTGGACACTGAACTGGGCTACAACCCATGTCCTGGATCTGAGGGCTTCGGAACTGAGACCTGGGGCACGAAATTCGGGGCATGGGATACCAACAACAGCGGGGCACAGGGCAGACACGGCAACCTCACACCATTGAGGTGCTCCATGCCACGCCCACTCTGTTCCCCAGACCCAGAGGGCAAAAACAATTCTGGAAGGACACCAGGAAAGATCGCTAGCACCACCTAGCGACCAGAACAAAATCACCAACATCCTGATAGTTGGAAACCAGGGATCCCAAAAATACCCTCAGACTCTGAGAGAGGGTGGGCCACGCAAATGGGGGTAAGAGGGAAAATAAGGCGTGGAACAAGACCCCATTCTGGAACTGAGAGCCAGAGCAGGATCAGGGTGTGGGATGCGCCATAGCAGCGGGCACTGCCCAAGGTGACAGCCAGCGTTTTGGATCTGATAGCCCTGAAACTGAGACCTAGAGTGCAGAATTCAGGGTGTGGGATCCATACAGCTGTGGGCACAGCACTGGGTGAACACAGGACCGACACAGCACCCAGCTTGAGTAAGAGCTCCTGTGTTGAGATGCTCCCCTCCGCCCCCCCTCCCCGCCTTCGTTTCTCAGAGAACCACTGGGAAAAAGCACAGGTCAGCAAGTGCTGGTCTCTGGCACCACCTTGTGAGCAGAACAAAATCACCAACTAGCTGATTCCCTGTTGGAACTGAGTAAATACAGAGGGGAGGGAGGGAACTGCAAGGGACAGTGTCCAGCAAAACAGCATCAACACCCTGGTGGAGTTTTGGCATACAGTGCTGGTCTAAGTCTGGTAAACAGTTTCTGACATCCCTAAAGGAGAACTCCAAAGAGACACCAGCGATTGTGGTGGCACAATCGCTAGGTGGTGCTAGTGATCTTTCCTGGTGCCCTTCCAGAATTGTTTTTGCCCTCTGGGTCTGGGGAACAGAGTGGCACAATGTCCCAACACATGGAACTAATTAGAAAGTAAACAACATGGAGAAGAAAAAATATAAATAACCAAGCAAACCTGCAGGAGGAGGATACACCACAAAAAGAAATACAGTCACCAGAGCTCAACAATGACATGCAAGAACTTCTCGGCCTATCAGAGAATTAATGATCATCATGATTAAAAAGCAGAAAGAAAACAAAAAGGAAAAAAAAGTATTTTGAGACAAATAATCACTGAACTGAAGAATGAAATTGAGACCTTGAAAAAGGAAATAAAAGAAACACAGGGAATTAAAAGATTACTAGAGGAGATAAAGAACTCTGGGAAAAGCAATGAAAACAGAATTGATGAAATGGAAAAACGGATCAGTACTGTCAAAGATACAGAAATAAAAAGAGCCAAAAGGGAAAAGGAGAGAGAAGTGCAAATGAAGAAGTATGAAGATACTCTTAGACAATTATCAGACTCCATGAAGAGAGGAAATGTAAGAGTTATAGGCATTCCAGAAGGTGAGGAGAGAGACAAAGGAACTGAGAAATTGTTCAGATATCTATAGGATACTGCACGCAAAAAAAATCTGAGTACACATTTCTCTCAAGGGCGCATGTTTCATTCTCCAGAATCAATCACATACTGGGCCACAAGACAAACATCAACAGATACATGAAGATCAAAAATCCTTCCAACTTTCTTCTCCGATCACAAAGGCATCAGACCAGAAATTAATCATGAAAAGAAAACGAGGAACCCTCCCACTTTGTGGAGATTGAAATCCACATTACTGGAAGACCAATGGACTAATTAAGAGATCAAAGAAGAAATTAAAAAATACTTTGAGTTCAATGACAAGGAGGACACCACTTTTCAGAATGCATGGGATGCAGCAAAAGCAGAAACAAGAGGAAAATACATAGCAGTACAGGCTCACATCAACAAACAAGAAAGATCTCAAAGAAACAACCTAATCTTACATCTCAAAGAGCTAGAAAAAGAACAACAAAAAAACCCTAAAGCCAATAGAAGAAAGGAAATAATAAAAATCAAAGCAGAAATAAATGAACTGGAAATTTAAAAAAGCAATCCAAAAGATCAATGAAACCAAAAGAAGTTGGTTCTTTGAAAAAATAAACAAAATAGACAAACCTATAGCTAGGCTCACAAAGAAAAAATGGAAGAAAACACATATAAATAGGATTACAAATGCAAGAGGAGAAATCACAACAGATTCAGTAGAAATCAAAAGACTAATCAGAGATTACTATGAAAACATATATGCAAACAAATTCAACAACCTAGAGGAGATGGACAAATTCCTAGAACTATATAATCATCCAAAGCTGGAAAAAGAAGAAATAGAACAACTAAACAGACCAATTACAAGCAGTGAAATAGAGGCAGTAACCAAAGCACTCCTCAAAAACAAAAGCCCAGGCCCAGACAGCTTCACAGATGAATTCTACCAAACATTCAGCAAAAAATTGAAAAAGAAGGAATACTACCAAATACGTTCTACGAAGCCAATGTTACACTAATACCAAAACCAAAGACTGCACAAGAAAAAGAAAATTACAAGTCAATCTCCCTAATCAACAATAATGCATAAATCCTCAACAAAATCCTTGCCAACAGACTTCAACAATGCATCAAAGAGATAGTACACCACAATCAAGTGGGATTCATCCCAGGGACACAAGGATAGTTCAACATACAAAAATTGATAAGTGTAATCCAACACATCAACAAAAAGAAAAATAAAAACCAAATGATCATATCAACAGATGCCAAGAAAACATTCGACAAAGTCCAATATCCATTTATGATGAAGGCCCTTGAAATTCTCAGAATAGAAGGAACCTACCTTAACATGAAAAAAAACATATATGACAAACCCACTGCCAATATTATTCTCAATGGCGACACACTGAAGGCCTTTCCTTTAAGATCACGAACAAGACAAGGATGTCCTCTCTCACCAATGCTCTTCAATATAATACTGGAGGTCCTAACCAGGGCAATAAGACAAGAGAAAGACATACGAGGAATCCAAATAGGGAAAGAAGAAATGAAGCTATCATTATTTGTAGATGATATGATAATAAACATAGAGAACCCTAAAAACTCCACAGAAAAACTACTCAAAATAATCAACCAGTTAAGTAAAGTAGCAGGATACAAAATCAACACACAAAAATCAGTAGTCTTCCTATACACAAAAAAATCAAATTGAAACCATAAAAATCAAATACTTGAGAATAAACCTAACAAAAGTGGTGAAAGACCCATACAAA